CAGTAAAGCATTCTATAAATCAGTTAATTGCATACCAAATAACCCCTGAAAGCAGCTTGTGCCTTTGTTGCTGCTTCCTCCAGCCTCATTTTCTCGGGATCCAGTGCATCCTCTTCATTAGTAGATCCTACTAAGTCTATTTCTTGATTGTCAGGTAAAACATTTTCCGCTTCTTTGTTATCCACTTCCTGGACTTCATCGCGATTGGGAATAGCATCAGAGGTTGGTTCTAAAGTCAAACCCGTTTCCGGCACCTTGGAGGTAACTATTACTCCTTCTTTTTTATTAACAAGCTTCTAAATGAAATTACAGTAAACCAGAGTCAGGTATTTTATTACAGAAGGGAGAGTCCATATGACATACTATCACTGTCATTGAGAAAAATAAGTTTAAGATATACTTTTAACATTATAACAGAATCAATAATTATTAGCAATATATGACTAATTGTAGGTTATTTTCAAATTCCTGAGTGCCAACAAAGGTCAGCACAGTGCAAAGTAGTAACAAAAGTTAAGTCCTGCAACAACAACACCAAACCAGAATGTATTATTTAAGGAGAACGGAATTTGTGTTCTCTACTTCCTGTTTTCATTCTCTCTGTCCATGACAATGTATGATTAACAGTACCGATCACATGCATTAAAATTTAAATGAAAAAGAACGCTAGCAACAAGCTCTCTAGTACATCTAACTTCTTATTTAATGAACCTCGCACATGATTTTGTAGTTTTCAATGAATTTTATCCAATAAAAAGTGTAAAAAAGAGTGCTAGAGTGTCTTGCATTTTTCTTGAAGAAATATATATTGGGCTATTTATGTCATGAAAAAAATAATGCAATTTGAAAGAATATTTGTAAATGTATTCGTGAAATATGAATATAGATAAACATGAACAGAATGGTGATGTTGCCTTAATTATCACAACATTACCTCTCTGCCTTTTGAAATATTGGATTTGGATGACTTTTTCCCAAACAGTACGGTTTTGATCCATTTTCCAGGTGACTTACCCATACTGGAACCTGTAAAAGAAGGTAAAACTGATCTCTCAGTTGATCTCCATGATTGTTGCTTCATATTAGTAAAATTGAAAGTATGTAATTATCCTGAAATCAAGCACGATGCCTGCTTGGCTGCTTAACTAGATCACCAAATTCAATTAACTTAGTGCAACTAAAAGAATTTACAGTGAACTCGTCAGTTCCTTTAGTTAGCCAAGCATATAGGTGGGATCTTAAAAAGCCTGGCATGCCCTCCATTTGGTACGCGAAAGTATTCAGAAAAAAAAAAAAAAAAAAAGATAATGTTATGATTTTCAAAAAGAAATTTTTTTTTAGAGGTCAATAAAGGAAATTACGTTAAATTTATAGCGATAATCAAACAATACCTAAAGACACATGTAAATGATAATATAGAAGTTAATAGACCTTTAAACAAAAATAACGAATCTTCTATGTATAAAAGCACATCTGGCGACGGCTTCTCAATAAATATAATTATGCAAAGAAAATAACTTATACAATAATAACTTTTTTCCCTTTTCGCATTATTTTTAGCAGAAACATACAGTAGCTTTTTCTTCCATTAGGATGTTAGTCTCTGAATAACTAACTACCTTTCCTTATCAATAAAGAAAAATCATCAATGATTATGTAATCAACAACAGAAAAACAAAATTTCCCAAATCTAAATCAAGTATTATCAACAATTTGGGATGACATAATTACTGACCAATCAACTATCCACAGTAAATAGTCAATAGATATCATGCTCAATTAGTACCATCTTTTAAACTGATGCAATAATACAGCACTAAAAAAAATGGTATCATGTCCATATCCTTTTTAATATGATGCACCGTCACTCTTTGACTTTTTCCAAACCCCATCGCTAATCCTCGACTAAAAAACAACAAGCCCTATAAGCCACCGACAATCATAGCGTACGGAAAGGAAATGATGAAAAAACAAATACAATGCAAACTACGTTTGATCTCTCGAGCTCGAAGCTCCTGCCTGTTGAGATTCGATTGAGCACTACAAATCTAAAAGACTACAAATCAACAGTAATCAATCAACAACATACAAGCACAAAACAGAAAAATATATTAACACACAGCGAAAAAAGGTAATTTAAAATGGAAAAATCGAATTCACCAAAACCAAAAATCGAACATATTTCACTTGAAATTCCGCAACACTGAAAATGTATTAACGGACGGGAAAGAGGTAATTGGAAATGCGCCAATACAGAAACCCTAGAATCCACAAGATCTGCTATGTGCAAGAACTAGGAGGCACAGAACAGTGCTCGGTCCTTGAATCAGTGTCTGAAATTGGTGCCAATAAGCTAGAATGAGACTAGATCTGAAGATTACCTGACCAATGTGGAACCTTTTCACTTCAAATCTACCATTACTGCGAACCACAACCAAACAATGAGAATGCAAAATTAAAACAATAATTTATTTCCCCATTTGTTTAGTTTACTATTCTAGAGCAAGAGGATAAATATATACAGAGGAGTGAACAAGAGAAGAGAAAGAACACAAGAAGTTGGTGTACCATGGGAAAGAGAGAGAAGATTGATCTAAAGCTGCCTAAACTTTGTGGTTGCTTTGTTTGATGCTGCTGCTCTCTGTAAACTGTGCTAGCTGGATGAGTGAAATTTGAAATAACAAAAAATGTCTGAAAGAAACTGAAATGCCTGGATAAGTTGTAGGGAAATCACCACGTGTCACTCGTGCACAGTCTAGAACCCTCTTCGTAACCGTCCGATTCAAATACTTGGCTGATTTTAAATCGTTGACAACAAGAATGGTTTAATCCAAGGGTGAAAATGAGAGGATGTGCTGCACACGAGGACACGCTAAGAAAAAAGAAGTTGCTGTGATTTAATAGAAGGTTGTTTCTGGGAGTGCCAGTGCAGTTACTTCAAAACGAAGTGTTCCAGTTTCTTTAATCTTTATTCCGAAGCATTGACAAATGACTATTAGACCCCTGTATCTCGAACTGTGCTTCACGCGTTGAGTCGCGTCTGGTAGAGTTGAACCGTTGATGGAATTAGGTGCAGGGCAGAGATGAAAGCGCGTGGCTTGTAATGAGGGTAGTTTGCGTGGTGCAAGGTTTGGAAGCCACGGTGGCAGGAACAGTGTGGGAGATTGCGTGGAGCATGCGATAAAGAGAGAGTGAGGGTGGTGTAGTGAAGTTAACAGCCCCACCTTATCACTCCCCGTAATAAACGCACCATATTCAAGCCGTTTTTGTATTTATGGGCGGGCACAGTGATTTTCTTACGTAAAATTTATATTTTGTTTGTGTACAATGAAAACAACAACTTAAAACTTATCATTACAATTTCAACTACTATTATTATTTAGCATTAATTTACATATTTAAATATTTCGTTATTATCATATGATGACTGAGAACATATTTTTTATATCAATAAATTTACTGTGTGAAGTAAGAGAGAGTGAGACAATCACCTGCTTGTATTAGTTGATTTGCAAGTAATGGAAAGCGACAATTTGAGAGTGATGCACCCAATTTCACTATTTACAAAATGAGGAGATTTGAGGTGATGTATTGTAGGGGTTCGTTACAATGACAAAATTACTCATTGTTTCTTGTTTGAATCTTGATAAATTATGTTGTATCTTTTATAAAAGTTAAATCATTCCATCCATTTCCGTTTTTGTATAAATATCTTAAATAGGTTAGGTTTTCCTTCTTTTCTTTATGTATATCAATTTGATCTCTAATTTAAGAACATAGATGTAATTAGACCTTAATGTGAGCCAGTGTTAAATAAATCATGATTGAATGTTAAATAAAACATGATTAGGCATGTTTATGTGTAATTTTCAACTTTCGTGGCTTAATAAGCAATTCATTAAGTGGAAATTTGTTTTTAAAATTGAAAAGATAGAATATTTGACAAAAATAGAGTTTATGGCCAAATTAGGTATTAAAGTCTTAGATTCATTTATCAACTTTGAAAATTGAATTCACAGTTAGTAAAATTATGGTTCATTAATGAAATTTTTGATGGTTTGAAAACTGGTTTGTTAGAACCATGTGTTTATTGGAAATGAATGTCAGTAATTTTTTTTCTATTGTAGTTTGCAATTCATTGTTTAGTGATTTTTTTTTTCATGATGTGTTGTAAAGTTTTTGGAAACTATATTATTGGTTTTAGAGTATGATGTGTTTAAATGTGAGTAACGTTTTAAATATTAGTGTTTGTCTCACGTGTTAAACTATGTTTTACTTGTGGTCCCATCTTTAAAGTCATGTGGGAGTATCTATTTTAGTTTAGTTTAATATATATTTTAGTGTCGTGTGTCAAATTACCATTATGCTATGTGGCTCTGGTAGTGTAATGCAACAGTGTTAGTGGCACGTGTCACTATGATGTTAAGTGTCATTATCTTACTATCAATCTAGTTATTTTATTTTTATTTTGTCTCAATTTAATTATATTTCCTTTAAAAGAAAGCATGTTGTCCCTCTCCAAATTGAAATAAAAATTAACTTTACAAATATTTTATTAAAATTTATATTTTTATTAAATATTTTTAATAAAATTATAACTTTATTTAAAATTATTTTTAAATTTTAAATTGTTTAAAAAATGTTTTAAATTATTTTAAAATTTTACATCTTAATTTGTAAAATTGTTATTTTTAAGCCAACTCAAACATTTGTATATAATTTATTGAATTTTACACATTTTTAAAATATACAATGATTTAAAAAAAATTGAAAAAGTTGTTAAATTATTTTATTTTGTGAGATGCAAATGATATACAAGTTCATAATATTTGTTAGTTTAAATTATTTTTGAATTATTTTCTATTAACATTACTTTTTACTAATAACTTGACAACAATTTAAAAAACATAATCTAAAATATAAATATAAATAAATTTAATCTTGTTAAAAATATTTAATAAAATTATTTATATAATATTTATAAAAATTAATGTGTTTAAATTTGAAAAATGACAAAATTGTTTAATTTTTAAAAAAATTAGGTTTGAATCAAGATAAAACAAAAATACACGACACTTGGTATGAAGTGACACTAAACTGAGACAAATAAAAATCAGGAAACCGATTTAAGATTTTCCTTAAGGCTGTGTTCACTTCGAGGGTATTTATTGTTTACTAATATTATCGAGCGATGAAAAGCAATGCATTGCGTGTTCATTTGAAGGTATTTGCGCGCAAGTAATGCGATTGATTTGCGAGATGCACTTCTTTTTGGTCACTCGTCAAGTTAAGAAGATTTGGAGGGATAGTAGCATGAATTACTCATGTGCCCCTCACATTTTAAATTTTTCCAGAACCACTGCTCATTTGTCCTAATTTGTCCTCATTCAATTGGGGTATTTTACTAAATTATAATTGAATTAATTTTTATAAATTATTTTTAATAATTTTTTTTATTTTTTTCCTCTTAATAAATATTTTTACAAATAAATATAACATAAACAAATATCGTTTTATATCACCTTAATACCTAGGGACATTTTGGTAATATTCAATTTCTATCAATTAAACAAAATTTTTAAAACTGTCACATCAATCAAATCCTACACTAATTCTCAAAAACTTTACCCCTAAATCCACTCTCAATCACCTTCAAATCCACTCAAATAAACACAAAAAAAATTACCTTCAAATCCCCTCAAATACATTCAATCACTATCCCTCAAATCATCTCCTCCAATCAACCCCAAGTGAACACACCCTAAAAGTTAGAGACGAATTAAATAATTTAACCTTTATTTTACTACCCATATTTATTTATTTATTTAGTTTACAATTATCCCTAAAATTTGGTTATTTAGTCATTTGAAATTTTGTATTTATTAACTTTTTCTCTAAACATGCTCCCTATGTATATCAACAACAAAGTTCAATTAAAGACATTTAAAAACAATCATTTCCCAAACAAAACTCAATAACTAAAATATAAAGATTTAAATATAGTTCTCAATCAAAGCAAAATCTAGTGATTAAGTCACTTTTATATCTACATCATTTATCTTTTAGTTCTATTAAAATCACAATATTTTAGGGGTCTACAATATTAAAATCACAAAAGAAAAGAAAATATAAGAGAGAGAATATAAATATTAAATTTTAACCCATGAATATACAATAATGTAATGAAGATTGCAAAAACAATGTCTACATTTTCTCTACTTATATATAATTACGATGTTCAATACTTTCTAAAAATGTAATTTTAAAATATATTAAAAAGTATTTATATTTATATTATGTAGTATAAAGTATTTTTTTTCAATCAAATCGTTAAAGTATAAGTTTATACTATTGTTTCTATTGAAGAGGGTGAGTGTAGATAACTCCCAACTGATTTCATTCCCATTTTTATTATTTCTTCCTTTATTTATTAAATATTAGACCACTCCGATATTGAATTTTCATATACCAGCAGTATAATTATAATCCAATCACTTTTTAATGTGGTTATAAAGTTTATTTGTATTAATATTTCCACATATGTTCTTAATTATGCCAGATGTATGATTTTGTTGGTCAATTTGATAATATTAGAAATCAATCCCATTGGTTAACATAAATCGAGTTCATACTATACAATTATCATTATCATGATTATTTGTTTTTATTTTGATTAAAATTGAACAATAATAATCAAATGTCAAATGTATACATAATATATATCAAATGATTTAAAATATTTTACATATTATCTAGGTGATATGATTTTAATTCGACTAAAAATTTAAAATAAATAAAAAAATTTGATAGTACATAACATTAACGGCTTTAAAGTGTAAGGAGAAAAAACGTTTGATAGTTACATTCGCTTCCAATCTCAATTAGAATAGAGGCGCAGTTTCCTTAGCATTCCAAACGGAAAAAAGACGGAATAAAAAAAGCGGTCGGTTTTAAAAATTTGAAATTCAAAACAAAACATTACAAACTGACATGTGAGTTGTTCCACTCCACCCAACCAGAGGCATTGCATGTTTTCCCGCTCATTGTGACTTTTATAAACCCATTTTCTATTTTTATATTTAAAACATCAGAAACCACCACCAGTCATTGTTGGTTCTCAATTCTGAAGCAGAAGATGGAAATGGAAGAAACCGTGAAGGAACAGTCTCTCTCTGTTGGTACTTTCTTTCTCCTCCCCTCCCAATTGTGTGAATTTACTTTTTTATTTATTCATTTGTTCATGTTTTTGTTTGGAGTGACAGTCATAATCGTAATAGTTACGTGAAATTGAGTTATGACAATTGAATTGTATGGTGGTTCTGTTTCAGGGAATTCTGCGAGATCTAAACTCCTGAGGTATCCACTACGATCGTCCTCTAAATTCAAAGAAAGCAAACCAGACCCACCTGATGCCACCAATTCCTCTGCATCTAAAAGGTACTTTCTCATGTCTTCTTCTTATCATGTTAGATTACGTCATTAGGTATTTTCTTGATTGAGAGACAATTTCGTTTACTTATTCTTGTCTTAGAATAATTTTGAATCTCGATCTTACTAATATGCTTCTCATATGGATGACATTCTCTGCACCAATTACGAATATTGTACTTAATTCGGCGTTACTCATGTTTGAGGATAAAAGAAATTTAGTAGTCTTTACTTTTATTATTTGTACGCGTTGGTTCCTTTGATTTT